TAATGAATTTAAATTAGATAATAAACAAAGAATTGCTCAAAATTTTGTTTATTGTCAGGCTAATCCAGCAATATTATGCGACGAATTTAATGAAAATAATTTAGCATCAGATGCAATTACATGTTCAACTTCTGATTGGATGAAAGGCGTGTCTAAAGAATTTACACAAATTGGTGATAAATCACTTATGCTTGGTTATTGTTATTTCTCAAGTGGAAATAGTTATTCTCAGTTTATTGGAACAGTTCAAATTCAAGAAAGTACTTGTATATTAATCCAAAGTGTTATTAATGGTTTTAATGTTAAAGATTCGGTATTGAAAGAAATATATGATAGATATAGTAGACAACCATTATATGTTCCAGCTCAAATTACTACTGAATATGATTTTCCACCCAATCAATCTGTTTCTAGAATTAATTGTTCAAACATGATGAGCTACCTAAATACATCTATGTTATTCTTCTTATTCCCAAGATCTAATAATCAATGTACTGTATCCAAGAATCCACATATTTCTGATATCAAAGTTATAACAGCAAACAGAACTATACCAGATCAACAGATGGATACATTATCAAGTGGATTTAGTGAATTCCAATTAGCAAATACTAATTTTGATACATTATTTGCTGCTCCTCAATCTATAATTAATAGTTTAACGTTTAATGAACATTCTGAAAATACTAATGATTCATCTAAACATATCAAATATCTAAGTGATGCTACTGATTTTATGATGTCAATTCCTTTAGAAAGATATGGTTCTGGATGTTTCTTTGATGGTTTATATTCTACAACAAATATACAACTAACTCTTCAAGCAACACCTATGTTTGGAGATTATAATCCATATATTAAACCAAGTGGATATACTGGTTCAGTTAATACTAATGCTATTAATATTATTTTATTAAATGATGCTATGTGGTCATTATCACCAAATAAGGTTGAATTACTTACTAATGTTGATTTAGATACTATGTTCAAATAAAATAATAATAATATATTTAATCTTTATTTTTAGTAATAAATGAAACAACTTTAACAACTTATCAAGATAAAAGTAAAAATAGTGTTTTTTGCACTTCATATTTTAATCCTTCTACAATAACATCTAATGAAATTAAAACTGATAAAATTACAAGCATGGATGGAACAGTAAGTATAAATACAAAAGATATTTCTTCTACTGATTATGTAAATTCTGAAATATTAACATATTATAATAAATCTAAAAGTTACAGCGACAATGTTGGTTCAACATGTAATACATATTCTGATATGATTGCTTCAGCGTGTAACAGGTATAGCGACAATGTTGGCTCTGAGTGTAACTCCTACACAGATACAAAAATAGCTTCAATACCAACTCCAAAAATAATATATCCATATCCAAATATAATTTAACAAGATGTGACAACATATAAAAATGTTACTTATTCTATTAAATCAGAAACTGATAAAACTGCATATTTTAGAATAAAAATTGATAATGTTACAGAATTTTTATCACCAAATAGAATAGTAAAAGTATTTCCATATGTAATTATTAATAATGAAATTTATAAAGTTATTGAACAAGTTAGTGGCGGAAGTATGTTGAATGGAAAAATATATACAACAGTACAAAATCTATTTATTATAAATGAGCATCCAATAATAATAATACCAGATATAGTTGGATATTTATGGGGTGATGGATATTATTGTTTTAATTATTTCAGTTTATATTTACCAAAGAATTTTACATCAAATAGTAATTTAACATCAATAACAACTAAACCAATATGTGTTTATTTATATTGTAATCTTAATAATTTATTTTATCCTGGTATTAGTTATTCAGAAAGTGATCCAAATTTAATGTGAAATAATATATATAAATATATATATAATAATGGATTATATCTAATAGAACCAAAATTACAGATAGCAAATACATCATCTATTATTGAAATATGTCAAGGTTCTTCACTAAAAATATATATGTCATCCAAAGCTGTTTCTAATTTTACAGATTATAAATCATATATTATTAATTCATTAGAAAGAACTACCACAACTACAAGTAATGATAGTTTTGAATCAGGTACTATTTATAATACTTATAATTCTAGAAACGATTTATGGTAATTTTTAAATCACTAACATAATCGAAGATTCCATATTGTGTTTTTTTCAAATCACTAAATGGTTGAATTAGAAAAAATAGTAGAATTAGCTTCATTATTATCATTTATATTTCTGTTATTTTTTGTTACAGTATTAAAAATATATACATATCTGTTTAAAAAGAAATTATTCAAATTAAAAGAGAAAAAAAATTTTATCAACAAATATAACACCAAGAATACATAGTGTTTAAAACACTAACTCAAACTAAACAATTAAACAATAATCAGAATCAATATTGATTATATTATTTTTGTAATCAGTAAACCATATTTATATTTTTTGTATATTGTTTTTGATTTCAAATGATTTTTGATTATTAGCTTTATTGGTTATTTTGTTGTGTTTTATTGTTTCAGGTTTATATTCCACTCAATAAATTTGTAATTGATTTCAATAAAAATTAAAAAACATAAGTAACGAATAAAATATTATGTGTACTTGTATTATATCTGATTGTGTTAAAAATTTAAAGTTTTATAACTAAAATAAATTATTTTAACATTATTTGGTACATTTTGAACCACAAGAAATAAAATAATTTATTAACCATTTATTATAATATTCCATTGTCCAACACATTATAGTTCGTTAATTATATAACCCGTTAGCTAATAACTGTTTCCCAAAAATTTTACTAACCTCAATGTTCGGCGAATTTCGAGAAAAAGTAATAATTTGCCAAATTATAATTGTTGTAAAAAACTATATTTTTGGTTAACTTAATTCAGATATAGTGATTTTCTTATCTGTATAGAAAAAAATTTTAATTTATACAAAATAAAATAATATATTATTTGATATATTTTTCAATTGTGACGGCTTTATCAGAATAAACTAAAAATTATTAAAATTATTAAAATTATTTTAACCACATTTGTAAAACGCTATAAATACACATTTATAATATAAAAATAAAACATTTTTTGTATTTTTGTATTTTTGAATCTTGAAAAATAGGGTTTTTCTTTTTCTAATAAACATTTAATAAAGTAAAACAAATAAAAAGTTTTATATAAAACGTCAAATTATTATCTTTTGTTTTTTGTCTCATGTTTTGGCGCAAAGTGAACGTTTTGATTCAAATTTAACTTTAAAACGCTAATAATTTAATAATTAAATAAACCGAACTTTTATTGATTGAATCTAAAACTCTTAATTACTAAATGGAAGAACACTCCACAAAAATGTAAGTTCTATTTACTTTCGATGTCAAAACCAAAGATGGTAATCTTTATTTGGTTAA